ACTGCCACTTTTTGCACAGAAAATATGATGATAAAGAAACACATCGCCAGAGCTGTGAAGATGCTAGACGCAATTTATTTAAATGTGCTCATTCAATTTGTTTTACAAAAATAGTTCACGGCTCTAAATGTAAATTTTGAATCTGCGCGCCATTCTCTGGGGCCAGAGCTGTCAAGATGTGTGCCCACATAAACAGTGTAGCTACCACTAGACGCAAGCACTCGTCTTTATCTATGGACGCAAGTACTCGTCTTTATCTATGCCTGTCCACCCTATATACACCCTATACAATGATAACATGAATTCATTGTATCATGTATCACCATTCAATAACATTGAGACACAACATAAAGTTTATCTATAAAGATTAACTATAATCTTTATGCTGTGATTGAGTGCTAGCTGAGGGATTTTGTTCTTGTATCTCTCTCACACATTGCAAATAGAAAAACATAAATTCTCCAGTCCACTCCATAAAAATGGATTTTATTTCGCCCATTGACTTGCGCTAGTTTGCGCATTGCCAACTGTAGGCGAAAAAATCGATCTGTCACTTTATCACTTCAACCTTTTTCAGAGAAGGTGGTGTGTGGCCGCTTTCTAAAGGTAAGATTTTCTTGAATTTTCACGTTATTTTACTGTAATTCTAATTCATTTTGAACATATTTACATGTGTACGTCATTTGGAAATATTAATTTCTAGTTTTTTAGGCAGTAGATAACATTAAAAAGTATTCTTTTAAGAAACCGTACTGCTTATGTAACACGTTTTCTTCCATGATTAATTAAGGCAATTATCGTTAATTTAAGCGCCGTAATACACTTCAAGTGATTGTTTACGGTTTTCTAATAAAATGTAGTAAACTACACTTCCATCTAGTAGTAATTATAACTCTTTAAATAATTATAGGTTACCTCCCTGATGAACTAACTGTAGACTAGCGAAGCTTATCATGCTACAATTCGCTGATTTTTGCGTAACTTCATACGTTCTTTAACTTATCATATACTATCAAACATTTCGATAATGTAAAAGTTAAATTATAATTGCATAATATATCTGAAAATAATTCCAATGTCACATGCAATTCAAGGTTATAACTTTGACGTTTATGGATTTATTTATATAAAACACAAGGTACCCTTTAGTATTTTATTGTCCTAACGTTAATTGGTATTTGGCAAGATCAAGATAGTGTCAGTCTATAGTTAATGCCCATCCTCCTTCCAAACAGGTAACGTTAATACAAGAAAAGTGTCTGGCTTGTTTATTGAACTGTACACTACTAAGCTCTGTATTTCTATGAATTTTCAACATATTTTGCATTAGTTGTATTTTATATGCTAGTCTGTGTGAGTGAAATTTTCTGAAATGAAACTAGGTATACTATTATTTATATAAGAGCAGAAAAGCAAAATATACTTTGAACCAACTCAACATGACTTTCCAGCGTTAATTTATAATACACAGTTATCTAGCTTATTTATTTATATACCAGCTGATAATGAGATACTACCATATTCGTCACGTGATATTGTAATTGCCCTTCTTGCTCATTAGTGTCATATGACTTTACTTTTTGCTCATTTCTAAGATTTAACACACAAATTGCTAAATGTATAAAGTAATGGAATTAAAATGTTTTATAACAGTTGATGATTTATATTTCTGACTCTTACAGACCTTAGTGACCACTGAAAGCTCATCCTACAGCCATGTCTTTATTTTCCAACTTGCTTCCAAAAGCATGGTGTCAACCAACGGAAAGCACATCTCCCACCCCACAAAATCAGACAGGTATATTTAATTCTAATTTTTCATGTAAATATACATTTCACAACTGAGGTGATCACACTCGATGCGAGGTTTTAACTTCAACAAACTAGGTACAATCAGATAATATAACCTGTTCTTATGCATACTTTTATTTAAAAAAGTCATGTTTTATAGACAAATATTCGCCTTCTTTTCGTTGCAAGGATGAATTCCAAGATCTGTTTCCAAAGTCTCGTTCTTAGCATTCTCTATATGCGTTCGAAACATATTTGTTATTTATCCTTCAATCGTACAATGTGTTTGGATCTACCCTCATGATTTTGATGTCACTATACTTTCGTTGGTAACTTTCCATTCTTGACCTACCCGCCGCCCTTCTCCACAAGTCAACCTGTGTTTTTTTATGTACTTTTTGATTATCCACACCTTTGAGTATAGCTCAGTTATTATTCTTTTTACTACGGTATTATATATGCTGGAAGGAAAGTTTCTTCAGGGGTAAATAATTACTAATTTGAAACTCAAAAAGGATTCTTTAAATGGCTATTTGTTACAAAAGGTCACTTCAAAATAAACTGGTAAACAAGATAAACGTTGCACGGATAAATTTGCCCTAACTTTCAAACTGGTTACACTCTGATCGCTACGAGCGATTTTATTTCTATTTGAATCATTATCTAATCCAATTCGTTTTCTATCCGTCCGTGTTTTTACAAAAATTAGGTACTTCAGATAAAGAGAAAGTTAAAAATATCGGCATTCACCTAGTTGAACACATTTTGTTTGGATTTCAACATCAATGACAAAGAAGCATATCTCGCACCTGTTTTTTAATTTTTCGTCTATCTCTTGTATTTACAGGTTGATCTCAAAATCAATTTTTTACTCTTGCAGTGATAACATTTAACTGTTAAAGCCATTTGCAAAATTTGTACCTCATGTTAAAACTGGAATTTCAAAATCGACTTAAGACAAATATTTAGAACACATTGTTGCATTAAAAGTGACCCAAATCAAATCTGTCGCCGGACTCTGGGACCCTGGAAAGCAATAAAAGTCAAGTATTCTTTCAAACAATCCGTTCATTTATGCAATCTTGTGAATAAAATGTTTGCCTTATGCAGATGAAGTTTTAGCTTCAACATGAGCTTGAGTGTAAAAATCGGTTTAAAAGGAAAAATTATCACTGCAAGACCAAAAAGTACATTCTTAAATTTTGTTTGAATCCGATATCAACAAACTTTGGCTTGATGACATATTGGGTGAATGAAGAGTCGCTTGGAGTCATTCAATATACGACGCGTTTCGGTTATTTGCAACACATAACCATCATCAGATCATAAGACCTAAAACTGTGTCAACGGCATTGTGGGTAGAAAAAAAGCGGACATCAGTCACATGACGAAGGGTACAACACACCTAAATTATGCTCAAATGGAGACGGTCACTGAGCAATTGAGTGAATAATGAATTCTTGCGACTCTTCATTCACCCAATATGTACATTTTTCTTCATCATATCAGCTTAGAAGTAAAAGAGAAAGAGGAAAAATAAAAAAACCGTTTTGAAATATGAGGCATATCTCTTGGTGATAAAATCCTACAAGGATCGTTTTTTTGTTCCACTAGAATCATGCCAAAATTTGAGAAATTTTGGATTGTTTAATTTTTCACCGTTGCAACGTTATCTGCGAGACTTAATTCTGTGAAAGAACACGGACCAACAGACAAATAATTCGACTATATAATGCATTACATTTGTGGTTAGTTTTTATATTGTGCCTTTTAAAACTTAAAATGTTTAACAATGTCCATTATTCATTAAGTTTTCAAAATAAAATATTATGCATAATAGACGCGCGAAAACAGTGTTTGCCACCAAACTTATTCTTCTAAGAGATTGAAAATACTAACGTCATGGATTCAAAGGTTTCACGCAGCTTTTCCTTCATCTTGAACTCAACAAAGGACTACTACACCCGTAGAGTTCTCCTAACTTTGTCCATTTTCACCGGAAAACTTTCCTTTGTCTTAAAACAGTCTCATCCCATCCAAACATTAAATGATAACTGACGTGACTGTCGTTCTGTGGTTTTACGGATAGATATATTATGGTGTAGATTGTTCTGTATCACCAGTGCAAATTGAGATTTTAACGATATTTCTTTTACATATATGTATAGGTATAATATTTTTTTCATAAATTAATAATTTTTAAAGCATTTAAAAACCGCATTTAAAAACCACATTTAGGATTCTTCCATAATCTTAAATGTTAAATATAAATGCCAGAAAATACTTTGTAAATTCCAATGTGGATACTGTATCTTTTTAGTGTCTACTATTTCACCTTACATACACCTTACCTAAACAAATCAGTTTTTTCATATTGTTTTATCGCAGTACAGTACAATTCCAATCCTTTCAAATTTAGGTCTAGTTAAATCATTGGTAGCTGGAAGGCAAATTGCAGCTGCAGCAGTGGCGGAAGGAGACAGTTGTGAATTTGCCTCACTTCAGTATTTTGGCCTTTGTGGCTTGGGAGGTAAGCTATAAAACACTGTTTTTGAAATGGGGTTATCACAATTGTTTTTTTTTAGGTATTCTGTCTTGTGGTATAACACATACGGCTGTAGTACCTCTTGATCTTGTCAAATGTCGTATTCAAGTCGACCCGGCTAAATACAAATCTGTTTTCAATGGTAAGAAAGCTTTAGATTGATTTAAGTGTTGTTTGTAAAGCTTCAGCTATTGGTTAACAGGGTTCAAAGTAACTTTAGCTGAAGATGGTGCGAAAGGTTTGGCCAAAGGTTGGGCGCCAACCTTCTTTGGTTACTCTGCGCAAGGATTGTGCAAGTTTGGACTCTATGAAGTTTTCAAAGTAGGTTTTAGACATCTTTATTTATTAAGTTATGCTCAAAACTATAAACACTTATTTTATAGGTATTCTATACTGACCTTATTGGAGAAGAAAATGCTTTCTTGTACCGTACCTGGTTATATCTTGGTGCATCCGCGTCTGCTGAATTTTTCGCTGATATTGCGTTGTCTCCAATGGAAGCAGCTAAGGTTAAAATTCAAACTACTCCCGGCTTTGCCAATACCTTGAGGGAAGCTTGGCCAAGAATATATAGAGAAGAAGGTAACAATAATTGTGTGGAAAACAATTGTTTGATATTAACCTGAGCTCATGTAGGAGCAAATGGTTTCTACAAGTCCCTCGTTCCTCTATGGATGAGGCAAATCCCATACACTATGATGAAATTTGCCTGCTTTGAACGTACCGTCGAACTTATTTACAAATACGTAGTGCCCAAACCACGGTAAGTGCTTGTTTTCAAAACAACAGTGTATGTTTCTAATTGTTTTAAAAAATTTAGAGCTGATTGTACCAAAGGTGAGCAGTTGGTTGTTACATTTGCTGCTGGATACATTGCTGGTGTCTTCTGCGCCATTGTATCTCATCCCGCTGATACTGTCGTCAGTAAATTGAACCAAGAAAAGGTCAGTGTTCGTCAACACGTTTTCTGGCGATTTATTAATTCATTCAAATATTTTTTTGTGTTTAGGGCTCTACCGCACTTGACGCTGCCAAAAAGTTGGGTTGGAGCGGTTTGTGGAAGGGTTTGCCACCAAGGATAGTCATGATTGGTACCTTGACCGCCCTTCAATGGTTCATCTATGATGCCTTCAAGGTAATACACGTTCAAGAAAAGTTATAGCTTTTGGAAGTTTGTTTCCAAATTTGATGAAAATGAAACAGTAACATGTTTAATTTATTAACAATATTCGTTCTGCAGGTCGCTTTGCGCATGCCACGACCACCACCACCAGAAATGCCCGAATCATTGAAAAAGAAGTTGGAAGCCGCAGGCAAGCAAGCCTAAGTAAACGTGCCCATAGTTAATATTTAACTTATAATTATTTAAAAGCTAAATAATTCCAATATAAAAGATAAGTCGGGTTAAATGATTTTATTCTTCTCCCAGTGTTAGAACGAAAAAACAGTATTGCGATAAAGAATTGGATTAGTAACAAATAGGTCAAAATCACGAAAATTGAGATACTCGTTGTGAAAAGTTCATGTTGTCTTTATGCTATTATAGAATGTAAATAGAAACATGTATAATACATACAGCGTTGTTTGCACCTGATTATGCAATTTTAATTGCAAAGCCTAAGTAATAATTTTATTTACGGGTGTTAATGAATAAGATCGGTCGACTGGAAAAATGTTTTAATAGTCACTCAAAAATCGTGGAAATCAAAGGTCTTTATTGTAAATTCATTTGGTACAAACCGACCGTAAGCACCAATTACACTAGCTGAGGGCCGGTATTATAAAATCCGGGTTGATCCGTCCACTGACCAACCGTCGGTTCATTTTCAGTACTTCCGTCAGACGAGTGTTGAATAGTTGAATATCTGGAGTACGGAAGTGGTGTTAATTTCTGATTGGTTCTCAATCAATTACTCCAAATGGAGGACAATAAAGTAAACTTTAACGTCGAAAACTTATTCTACTTGTTCGCGATCTAGATGATCTGTTGCTTCCGGACTTGCCTCTAAATTTTCCTGAGATGTGGACTGCCAGCTATCTCCGCTCTTTGGTGGTCTTCCGGGTGTACGGGTTCCCTTTAGTACAATGCGTGGTAGTCTATCGTTGGTCATTCTCCTCACGTGGTTATAATGACCATTCGTCGCATTGTGCTCTAATGTCATTGTTTCTTCGACGACTCGTAGCATATTTTTTATCTTGTTGGAATCCTCTCGCTTCTATACCATATACTACACGCAAGATATTTTGATCTTACTCTCTATTCGCATATAATGATTATCCCATGCAATTTCCCTTAGACATCCTGATATTATGGCTTTGTTAATTTGGTTTATCTGATCCTTTACCGGATCGTGAGCGCTGGACATTTCTATCTAATCTACATTGCATGACCTGCTCTAAGGGTTTATTATCTATTACCAGCTTGCATATCATTGGTTCCCTAGCGATGGTCATGGTTTTCGTTTTACCTATGGATTTGTCCATATTGAGTTGCTGACTGATCATGCTTTATTTCGAGTTTATTTCGCTATTCATTCTTTATCTCGAGTTCATGGATTTTGTACATCAGGAGGTAACATAAAAATGGACGAAAGCACGGTCTAACTCTTCCTGGAGTGGGGATGCTAAATGTAGTATTCTCTTCACTTTTGATTTGCGTTGTTAGTGGTGGTAAGGTTGTATACCATTGTTACGTGGACGGCGATAGCAGGAGCTTATTTTCCCTTTGGGATTTTTATGACGTCTTCCAAGCGGACTCTGTCAAATGCCTTAGTAAGGTCGACGAAGCAAATAAATGCTGGTGTATTTGTACTCCATTGATTTTTCCTTTATTTGCTTGGTAATGAATATGGCATGGGTTATTGATTATTATTTTTGAATCCTTGTGGTTCCTCTGGTTTTTATTTACTCCTCTAGTTTGTCCTTGAGCAACCCTGTTACAAGTACTACGTAAATATCTCTTATCTACAACGGTTATATAATGACTATGATTTAATTTTAACTAATTTAATTGTAAATTAGGTTAGTGGAATTCTAAACTATTTTGCCATCAAATTTAAACTTCAATAAAACTTTACATAAGCTGGATTACATTGGATCTGTATTCTTGTCTTACAGCCTTTTTGTACTTATTGAGTTCTATCAACACTGTCAAAAATTCTACCTGCTACAGGTCGTCTTTCACAACCATTCTCCCTTTCTATGGCAATGCTGTCTAACAAATTGTACAAATCTACCACCAGGTTTTAAGCATAGAATCTGAAATAACATCATGCCTCTGTCTGGCAATCTCAAGCCAGATTTTCTTAAAATATTATCCGAACCCTACTATGCTCTACTACCAAAGCTTCTTGGTATTTATTTCCTCCGTGATTTATCTGGCACAAGGCCCGAAACAACATTAAATGCTTCGTTCTCAATATCAATGGCAGATCATCAATTTTAAGACACAACTTTAAATACGTAATTACGTACCCAAGGAATTACGCAACTTTTCCATTTGTACGTAGAGTGTTACATACAACTTTTATTATGTAGTATGCTATTATACAGGGTGTCCATTTTGTGAATCTTTGTATAGGTAACTTCTACATTTTTAAATTTTAGAGAATCTGTTAAATTGGGCAGAATATGATTGCCTATTTATTACCGTTTTCAAAATTTAGGTACCCGACTTGGTTCCTGAAAAGACAAGAAATCAACACTTTTTTAATTATAACATATTACGTAAACTGCTTAACTTAGAAAAAAGTTAAAATTGCCCTTGGTCGAACTTTTTGCGATGAAGCTAACAACCTAGCACTTGTAGTCAACTTGTTTTACGAGGTAAAAAATAAACTTATGTTTTTTTAAATGGTAATTATAGTTAGCTGTGGGTCTTTTGAAATCCTTGTTTTTTCTGAATTTAACGATAGAACTGTTCCTATATTTATCTCTTTTTTTAACCGTAAAAAGGGCTCTTGCCAGATTCTAAATAAATTTTTCTTGAGACGTCGGAGAGACTTCTCTTGGCTGAGGGTCGGAGAGGCTGTATTTTACTCGTAAAGTTATACTACAACGTACAGTAAATGAAAATTTCATTACTGACTGATCAAAAAAAGTTATGGTACCATTTTCTTAAAACAAAACTAAATTAATTATTGAAAATTAACAAAACGCTGAAATCGACGGTTTTGTTTGTTCGATTTTTGAGAACTAATGAACGGATTTTAATGTAGTTTATCTGATATCATAGGTATTTTTAATACTTGAAAAAAAGAATAAAACTTTTTTCAATAGCATCAACGGTTCAACAATTATGCACAAAAAACGGGCTTTCGCACTGTCTTTAATTATTTATAAATAATTGTTTATAAACAATGTTCCACAGCCGGAAATCGAGCACAAACTATTGTCTCAATATTCTGACATCCTTCCGAACAACTTCCAATAATCTTTTACCATCATATTTTCAGTGCCTGAAACAGGCCTTTTAAAGTCTAATCCGACTGGACTCAAAATACGCTTCAGCCCGGTTTCAGGTACAAACCAATATTTATCATGGGCCAAAATAACATGTGAAAAAATCACAGATACTTGAAGTACGGTTTGTGTCATCCCTACACCAAACCAATCAGGATCACTCTTTCTCCAACCAATCAGGGTCACTTACTGGATTTATGGCTGATATTTCAAAAAGAAGAAGAAAAGTCTCCCAGTGGAAACATAAGATTTTAAATAAGAAAAGTATACGGTAGATCCTCCCCATCCCCCTAAAATTAGGTTTACATTATTTAAGGCGGAAAAAATTAATAGTGTCTAAAAAAGGAGAGAATTGCAAATTTTCAAAATATTTGCTCCGTAGCTCTAGTTACAATTAGACATAATCAATTTTTCTTGCGTAAATTACGATAATTATACCTCTAAAGGGGTGCATTTTAGGACACATGGTTATAGGAAGAAAACGTAGGTATACTAATTATGAAAAAAACTCGAGTTCGTGAATTTCTTCTTTTAGTTTGAATTGTAAAAATTCGTATTTGCTTCTAAATTGTTTCACTTCCGGAATAAGATTTAAATTGTGCATTTGCTCCATGTGAGGTAACATTTCATCTTTGAGATAATGAATGAAATCACACAAAGAGCATTCTATAAACGATGTACTTTAATATCTTCAGGAAACTTTCGTCCATGACTAATATATGACTTATTGTTATTAAATTGTTTTGCACAGGATTTACACTGCAACTTTTTTCCAGGAAAAATATCTGTTATCTTCAATTTCTGATTGGTTTGGTGCAATAATTCCGGCCACTTCCTAGACGCTTGTCACTTACAGTTACAATGTTGCGGTTTATTATTATTAGTAAAACAGTGAGACTATTTTTCAAAACTTTCGGTTGGTCGACTTCTAGGGCTCAATGCTTCCCTTGCTTTAATGGGCCGCACGCCCCTGTGTTACATACATAATTTGCAGGGGCTTTGTGATCCATTCATTACGTATCTGCACTCCCCGGTATCTTTTATACTTACCTAGTAGTTTTACTAAGTATTGTTAGTTGCCTACAGCTACTAAGTTGGACACTTTCTGTTTGATTCAAATTCCTAACCTAGCATTTCAATTTAATACGTCTAACCGTTTCGTTGTTTTCAATGATAAACAAGGTTTTACAACATTATTAAATATTGGTTTCTCCTAAAAGACATTGCAAAATGTCACGAAATGATTTTTGTTTATATAATGGTAACCATCTTATCCCTGTCTTTCTTAGAAATTGCTATTCAGAAGAGAAAAACTTGAGCATAAACATCTTTGATTTCGGCGACAAATTGGTAAGAAACTAGTTTTTTTATGTTTTTTAAAATACACATTGTTTTTGACTTAAACGCATTTGGTTCTGGGTCTGTTAATCCGTTGAATGAATAACATATATCTGCAATTATGATTGCATGCATATATTATTAACTGCAATACCCAATTCCTACAAAAACTGTCCTTTTTCAACTTTCATTTTCAACACCATATATTTTCATTGATATCATTGATATTGATATGACATTCAAATATGGTCTATTTTAAGTTTGGTTGCTTACATCACAACCTTTAGTTTGTCAATTTCTTGTTAAAATACGAACAAACATGCACAAGTTGGCTAATCCAATTAATTCTTAAGCATGTAATAAGTAATTGTAATGTAAAGTAAAGTAAAACAATAAAAATGTTGGTTGCACAGGCCAAATTCAGGCAATTTTTTTAAATAAAACATTTCAGATATATTTTTGGCAAGATATTTCAACTATGAAAATTATCAAGCTTACCCAGCTACAGCAGTAGTAAAATGTAATGTTTCAATTAGTGATCATTTTTCAGCAAATTAAACTTCGTGACCTTGCTGAATACTCTTTTAATTACATGGAAAATTTGGAAATGGGCGATTTTGAAACGTTGAGAATCAACCAATGCCTGGACGTTAATTTCACAGAGTTCAAGACAAATTTTGTAGATATGTTATATCAATTTCAAAGAAAGGAAATGTGAGATTATAACTTTGAAAGATACATCTGTCCTAATTAGGTGTATTTTAGGTTTCTAAAATGTCAAATATCGGATAAATTATGTTCACTAATATTTTTCACAAAGTCAAAAATCAAAGATATCGTTTATTTGACTTTGGACTTACACATGACCGATCAGAAGGAAATCATTGCAGAGATGCATTCTGAAATGCATGATCTTCAGGTATTTATTTACAAAAACCATAATTTCCATTGTCCATTAGCAGTGTTTGTAGGATACAAATGGACGGCTTCAAAAACAGTTGAGCAAAGCCCAAAAAACTGTCCGTGACAAGGAACTAGAAGTCAGTGATCTTGACGCCACAAGAAAGCTTATGCTGAATCAATTTTGTAAGGTATCTATGTCTACATGCATTTTAAAGATGTTGGTATTGTTTGTACCGGATACGTAAATTAATCCTCTAAACATTGTTTTTTTGTAGAACATTGAACAAATTGAAAAACTGTCCATTTCGAAATTGACTCACATTCAAAACCAGGTGATAAATAAAATAACTGCGTTTAAATCTCAAGTGTCAGAACTAGAACGAAAAATCAATGTTCTAAAGCAAGAAAACCATCTAAAAGTCGATTCTAGTGATCGGTTAATGAAGACTATGGAAAATTTACGACTTGAGAATATGGGATATAATACCACGATTGAGGATCTTCGACGAGAAAATAGGTCATTAAATCATTTGAGAGTCACGTTAGAAAGAAATGTGGCAGATCTAAAACACTCGTTAGATGATGTTCAAAATAATTACAGAGCCATAGAGAAGAAAAAGGTATTTGTATAATATTGATGGTTTACTTCAAACTATCCAACAAAGCAGATTTTATGTTTTAGTTCGAATTGGAAAATGACCTGAAACAACTAAGCATTATTGTTACTGAGAAAGACAGCAAAATTAGCGAACTATCAAAAGATCTGGTGCAAGCCAACAATATGCTTGTTCAGTTCAACAATCGCTTCGACGTCAAAGTACAACAGGTGATCTATATAGCATGCGGGGTGATTCAGAACAATGGTATCAAGCTTCTTTTGATTTTTTAATGCTTCAACAGAAGACATTTCAGTATAAAAAAACCATGTAGGAAAATGCCCCTGCGATTTCGATTAGTGGATCTTTAATATTTAACGATTAAAAATAATAT